GCATACAGGCCTGGTATGAAACTCTGCAGCTGAAGTCCCTGCAGAGAGGCTAGGGGCCAGAACCACCCAGCTAATCCAGGAGCAGAACATCTTGCCAGAGGGGGAAAGAAGTTTTACTTCCAAGGACTGCAGCAGAAAGAAGCTGAGCACAGCAGCCAGACCCAAGCCAGGCATCATGGGATGAATTCAAACTTCAAAGGTCTGCACCCAGTAAGCTGAGACACTTTGCTGACCGAGATCTATAAGAGCGTCCTCCCTCTTTCTTTATTGACTGAGAGAGGGGGCAAAAGGTAACCGGGGTGAACTAGTCTGCCTGGAAGACCCCAGGTACACCAAGGGGAGGCGATCAGACAGAACTTAGCAGAGCTAACTTAAATACAAATCCCCAATGTAATATCTGCTTAGCTATACAGACATAATGATTGCTCTTACTGTCTAAAATACAAAGCCATTAGTTACAAAAGTTTGCTAACTGCTAAATACTATTACCCATTATTAGTGCTCCTTGTTTTAGTTCTATTGTATTTATACTATAACTGCCTTAATCGTATTATCTCTCTTGGGTAAGAATTTCAGTAGGTGCTAAGGTTATAACTGCACAAAGGTCAGAGTACAGTGCTATAACAGTTGAAGTCCAGGTTATCTTTCTGGTACCAAAACTAGAACATATATAATATATATTTTACTTCCAATTTTCTTTAAATAAGCCACGAATTTATTCAGGGAATATGATCTACTTTTGTTTTTAAGAGACATTTCCGTGTATGGCTTTAAGCCTTTATACAATATGAGAGAAAAAAAATTAAATTTCCGACTATCATTTTAATTATTTGTTTATTTGACAGATTTCTAATAAATGCAAATACAAACAGGAGAGGGAATAAGTCTGGTGGTGGGTGGAGACACTTGTTATGAGCTGTTGTTATGAGAGGACACGTGAGTAGGGTCACATCCAGCACCCAGCGCAAGGCCTGCAAACAGCCTCCTCCCCTTCCCAGGCACTTTCTATGCCCTGCTTTTTCCCATAGTGCTCTCACCCACCAGCTGAGATGAGTGTGTGCTTTCTTGAGCGAATGCCTATAATTTTCGAAGTTACCCATGTAACTTCAGATGAGCTTTTAGGTTTAGAAACTAGTAGGGGTTAATCGGCCTGATGTCCTCCTGTCCTCTCTTCTAAAATGAGGGCACAGTGCCTATGCTGGGTCCCACTTCACAAATCCTCAGTCTCATCTTCAGGCATATATGGCTACACAGCAGCAGAGGTGGGCTCCAGCTACACCTCAGGCATCTCCTGTGCTCAGCCACCCCAATAGCTTACTGAGCTTTCGTTTCCTTTACTAGGCCATGATGGAAAGTTGCTGCTCTCTGAGGAAAGACACTTCCTTCCACGGCCAATAGTTGTCTGTCATTCTTAAAACCATTATGGATGGGTTCATGTGCTATGTCCAGTGCTTTCATACCATAGAGTACTCAGAAAATAACAATTAGTTTTATTGGCATCCTGTTTCCTCATACCTGTCTCTACGCCACATCTCTGCCAGCCTGCCAGCCTCTACTGTTTGCTTTTACCATTTTTTTATATTTCTTACCAGTTATTTTTATGCTTTACAGAAATATACCTGAAAATATACATTGTGTTCTTTTTTCACTTGCTATTTTAATGTCAGCAGTTTCCTGTTAAAGTTGTTAACTATGATTTTTGCTAACTGCTAGAATCCATCTCTTGGGGCTTCCAAGTTTTACTTGGTCATTTTCCTACTGTTGGCCATGTAGGCGTTCATGGGCTTGCACATAAGTCCTCTTTCATGTGTCTGATTATTTTCTCACTAGGCTTTCACAAGCAGGACTGCAGTGGCAAACATTTTTAAACAAATAAGAAAGCTGCTCATGTTAGGAATTGAAAGTGATTGTTTTTTTCAACAGGGTACTAGCTTTTCATGTTCTGCTGATGCCATCATAAAAAAGAATGGCTTTGGGACTCTCATTCCGTTTTCTTATTTTATGAATAATACTGTCTTTTTCATCTTAAAGGTTAACCTTGTGATTGTTTATAGTGTTTGCTGTGTATCATTCAAAGAGAAGTACATCAATTTGATTACTGTGTTCTAAAGTTCACAGTCCAAGGGAGACACAGCCATGCAGGCAATGCTGAAGATTCTCTAAGTGCGGATGAAAGTTATTAAAATTAACTCAAGTGCGAAGAACCAATGTTTTTGCTGCACGTTCTGTCTGAGGATCTCTGTTTTAATCTTCCTTGTCCCCTATTCCAGAGCATAACCAGTGACAGCTCTCAGAAAGACCCTCGTACCTTCAGTCACTTCCCTGCCTGACTCCCATTACCCTCTTTACTCTCCCTTGCCCCATCCTCTTGCTCTTCTTCAGTGCTGCCGCAGGGCCCACGGTCACCCTGCCTGTAATCAGCAAGGATGATGGGCCACACTGGTTTGAAAAGCTTACTGGATCTATTGTAGCTGGTCAGCCTGAAGATGAGTTTGGAAAATATAGGCCTTGCCTGTGGCTGCGTCAGACCCCGGGACTCCGTCTGCTGTCTGTCTGTCATTGAAATCTTCAAGTACTGTGCCCCTCTAGCTGGGTCTTCTCCTGTCACCGTGTGCCCCAGCTGTCCCAGGAGTGTCTTCTCTTCTTGGCTCTAAAGACAGGCCAGCTGGAGTTCAGAAACAAGCGCATCCTTGCAGGCCCAGTTCCTGCTAAGATGAAAGTAACTTTTTTTTTTTTTTTGGTACCAGAGATCGAGCTGAGGACCTTGTTGTGTTTGCCAGGCAGATGCTTATGCTGCTGAGCTGTCTCTCAGCCCAAAAGTAACGTTAATGATAACAAACACTAAATTGACTATTACTTATTTCTTGCTGGCCTTTACGTTCTCAGCGTGGTATAAGACATGCTCTAATTTACTTCTTGATGAGCTCTGGTGGCTCATGCAGACAAACATATCGAGCATGTTATCATCAGCATAAAAACAAGTACCCAGTCTGTTCCACACAGCCTAAAGGAAGGGCAAACCTCCCCCTGTGGAGCATCCCACCCATTTGTCTAGTTTCTTTTGTTCTTCCCAAGTCTGATCTTAATTTGTTTTATTGTTGTTCAAGCACCAGAAGACAAGAAGTGAATTTGAAAGATTCTTAGCAGCTTGTTCTTGCCGTATGTTAGTGCCATGGCTTACGATGAACCTGTGATCTAGAAAGAAGTTTTTCTGATTATTTTCAGCCTGAAGTCATTCGTACTATCTTTCTTATAGTGGACTACCTGAGAGTTAATTATCATCAACTATCCATCTGCCCAGAGTAAATTATACGTTACACCAGGTGTTTGGTGAACAATACTAAGCAATGTATTCTACTCTTTCATCTTAAGGGAATCAGCTAGTAAAAAAAATTCATGGATTTTTTTTTTTGTTGTTGTTGTTGTTCTTTTTAAGGCTACTAAACTATTTATACTAAACTTTTAAAATTTATTTTTCTATTCATATTTCCTGTGCATGAATCACATAATCATGTCCTTTGCCCATTTGTTATATGCATGTTTGACTACATTTTTATATGCTTAGGGATAACTCTGTTTTCCACTTAACATAATTTAAAATTTTTTTATTGTTAGCTAGTCTTAATTGCTTAGAATTACATACAACTGTATTTTACTGTTGTTGCTGTTTTTGTTGTTGTTTGTTTTTTGTTTTGGAAAGGTCTACAGGGTGTTCAGGGTCTCACTACTAGATCAGACTCATAGTGATCTGCCTGTTTACAGCCTCCCAAGATCTGGGATTACAGGCATGTGCCATCACGCCCAGTCTCAATTGTTGGCTCAGTGCACCCTGGGGGCGGGACCACCACAGCAGGCCCTGAGGATTGAACCTCTGACCCCTGAGTCTGCTTGTAGGCACTTTAATGCATTGAGCTATTTGACTGGCCCTTTATTTTACTATTTTGTTTTACTTTGAATTTCTCCTTTTGCTCTAATTGTAGGAAAATCACCACTTTAAGGTGGGACCCAGAGTCCTATTTTTCCTTTTGAGTTCCACTCCCCACCACCCCTGAGAACTTACTCTGATATTTTCTGAACCCAACAGCCCAGACTCCATAACTCAGCACATTATTTTCACAAAGGATACATACTTGTGGTACGACTTCAATTAGGTAGTTTCTTGTCCACCTGTTTATCCAGTATTTATAACTATTGCCTCTGTTTTCTTTGTTTAAGCGGTCTACAGCTTACTCCAATCAACTACAGATTTATTCATTCATCATCTCACTCACACATTGCTTAGTCATTCATTCAGTATACATGGTATACAGTCTGCAGTGGCCTCCCGTGATCCCTGCTTCCTGGTGCTCACCCTTGGGTGTGGGCAGGATCTGTGGTTTGCTTCTAACCAGTAAGACTATGGTAAGTGTGATGGGGCCCTTCATGTGTTTCTCCTACATAATAGAAGGCTGCTTTGGTAGCAGGCCCACCTTAGAGACCTCTTCTTCACTGGATGTACATGGCCCTGTTGTGGAAGCCCACCTGGTGAGGACCCTCGAGCTGACTTCAGCCATTAGGCAGGAGAAGGCTGGATCCTTAGTTCTTACAAGCCATAGGAAATGGGTTTTGCTAAGAACATGAGAGTTTGGAAGAGATTCCTTCCCCAGTTGAGCCTCTGAGTAAGAAGCTAGCCCAGGAAACAACTTGACTGAAACTTTGTGATGCATGTGACATTTCTAAACCTGTCCCAACCTACGGGAAATATGAAGCCATAAGTAATTATTGTTTTAATCCACTAAGGATGTTGTGATTTGTTATGCATGAATTAAAAACAAATACACTCTCCTATACTAAACATCATGTACACATTGTAACCATGTTTGTAGTAACCCCTTTACCCTGATACTTCCTCCATTTTACAGATAAAGAAACTGAGGCTCAGGAATTGATCTCCAGGATATTCTGCCCTTTATCACTGTTCTACCATGGCATTTATTTTAAAGAATTTTATTATTTTATAGGTTCAAGTGTTTTAAGATGTACTTCCTGAAATATCACAAATATACATAAAGGTGAATTAATTTTTAAAAATTCAACATGATGAGAAACTTTCCTATAACAATTTCCCAGAATTCTTTTGCACTATAGACTTTACTATATATCTCTTAGAAATAATATTAGATGCATACATAGAATATTTCTGTTTCATGTTAAAAGTGAAACACATTAACTCTTCAGAAGGTACAGGAAGAACTGTAAGGATCATGAAAGATATGGACCCCATATGCTGGAGAAGTTATCTGATATTTAAACCTTCAGGTAAATACTAAAATGTTCAGGTGCTTGGATTCTGTCTGTAACTTTAGTTCTGTAAGACTGAAAGATTTTTACCAGTATCCTAACTTTCCCATTTCTGATCAGACACAGAGAATTTATAAAGCAAAGAGATTTAGAAACACTTTTTTTTTTTTTTTACAATTAAAGTCCTATTTGATATAGTGTTTTGAGGGGCTAAGGTGCAATTGTGATCCCAGAGTGTTCTAATGAGAGTGCTTTCTACTTTGCATTTATCAGATGTTAATTATTCATAATGAATGATTGAGAATTTTGGAGTCAGAGACTCACCTGCAATATTTGGAATACCAGTGGAGGTCTACATCAACACAGAATTTATACAGCAGCTGGTGCTAGTCAAAGCTAATGATGGAATTTCAGTTTAATAAAAAGACCCCCAACTGAGCACACCATCTTGAAAAAAGTACACTTATCAAACAGCTTTCAATCAGTTCAAGAGAGACACCTTAATTGGGAAGAGAAAGAACTGTGGAGGAGTTTGTCATTGTGCCAATTCCAGATCAATAACTGCATGTCTGCTCTGGGTAGACGTAGCTCTTGCTTTAAGTAACCATATCTATATCCTCTCCATTTGGAGGAGAGCTTTTTTCATATGACAATGTGTAATGATGTTTTCTTTTAACTCATCTCTGTGTCTTCATTTCAGTCATGAAATTTGAGATGTAAACATAAAGGTCAATATTATCTTTATTTTTTAACTGAATTTTTTTGGTAACTGGATCATAATGTTTGTGCAGTTTTTACACGTTCAAAAATTGTTGTGTTGAAATAAAACAATATGATAAAAATAAGTTATAATCATTTCACTAACAGAAGAAAATTCTGAACAATCAAAGTCTGACTTAATAAGATTATTTTGGGAGAAAATTTTATAGAACAGTCTACTAATAAGAAAGTGATAGCTAGTGAGAGGATTTACTTTTGGTAAAAAGAATTGGAATATGAAGGAATATGACACAACTTATTAGAAGGAGATTATCACTCAACCATTTACAGACTGCTGATCTCAGTGGTGCACTGGAGGACAGGAGTCTGTGTGGGTGGCTGGTGCAGTGAAGCCGGGTCCAGCATAGAGTTGGTCCGAAGCCTGACAGGGAGGTCTCTCTAGTTCCTTTCCTCACTTTTCACAGGGCAAATACTATTTCTTTCTTTTATTCATTCCTTTCTTCCATCCACAGCTATTTATATAGATAGAAACTTAGACATAGAAATATTGAGCTTCTGTATAAGAGGACTAGACAATTAGTCCTTTATTCTCCATGTTTCAATTACAGCTTGGATTTGAAGACCGAAGTAAAAATAGAAAGGGGTATATATAGCAAATACATGCCCTGTATACAATATAGTTTTGCTGAGAGGCAAAGCTATAGGTTAAATGGCATTTGTCAGATTTCTTTAGATATGTAGAGCTATGACTAATAGGTCCAATTTCTTTTCAGCACAACTCTAGGACACAGCTGCCCTCAGCACTTAATCTACTGGATAAATTTGGGCAAAGGGAACTGTGGCTTTATTTTTATTTTTATTTTTAATTTTTGTGTATCGAGTACAGGGTCTACAGGGTCTTACTACACAGATCGGACTTGTAGTGATCCTCCTCTTTTCAGCCTCCCAAGTGCTGGGATTACAGGCATGCACCACCAAGCCCAGTTGCAACCACCATCTCAGCACTCCCCAGGGGCTGGATTGGCATCGCACTTGGGATTGAACTCGTCCCTGTGTCTGCCTAAGCAGGTGCTTTAATCCACTGAGCTATCTGGTCAGCCTATGGCTTAATTTAAAATAATCAAAACCTTCATTCATGTACAGAATCATATACATTAAAGAATTTGGGGGCTGGGGAGGTAGTTCAGTGGTCTAAGCACCTGCCTGGCAAGCTCAGGTACCACATGCCATGCCAGCCCTGGAACCACAGGTACACCATGCCAGCCATCGAAATTGGTCATGGTGACACCTGCTAGTAATCCCAGTGCTGGGGAGGCTGCGACAGGAGGATCACTATGAGTTCAAGCTGTGTAATGAGACCCTGTACCAAATAAATAAATAAAATAAATTAAAAATAAAAATGAAAGAAATTGGGTAAGTCCAGACTATGCTAATTATTAGTTCTAGGAATACTGCCTCTGTACACATAGAGATTAGACTTTTGTGGAAGAGAAAGGTAATTAGAAGAATAATCATATGCATAAGCTCTTAGTTACAGATTTTGTGCTTTTAAGCAAAGAAAGCAGGTTCTCTGAGATCACACATTAGCGGATATAGCCACACCCTTGGCTCCAGAGAGCAGAAATGCCTTGCCTGGAGTCATTGCGCTCGCACCGCGAGACTGGCAGTAGACTCAGGCAAACGTTCTTTCCAGCTTAACAGGTAGGCTGTGGAAGTGTGGAGCAATAGTAAGGACTAAGCGATGGAGATCTAAAATCTATCATCTCAAAAATAAAATAAAATAAAATAAAATCTATCATCTCCTCTTCTTGCTTGCAACGTGGTTGATGAGAGGATGAAAATGGTTTGTGTGTGTACCAAAGTGGATGAGTAAAGAAAAGCAGCTCCTCGGTCCCTACAAGAAAACTGGTCATTGTTGAAAACTTTCTCACTGTAGCCCAATTCAATAACTTCTTTGGGTATACTTTGATGTGAAAGAGTGTTTTTGTTTTCCTAGAAGGTCAAGCCCTGAATGTACATTATTTTCCATTACAAATCTTTTTGCCAACAGATTTGCCAGTCCTGTCAATTAGGGGAACCAATCCAGGTAGATGGTCCTCAGAATTATTTAACAGTGATCATAAGGAAGCCATTCTCCTATCTGGGTGCTCAGCCAATGCGCAGAGCTCCAGTGATTGTGTGTAACAGGGATTGTGAGGTTGGCTTCTCCAATAAGAGCCTGGAGGGTGGGGATAGAGTGGGTCTGGTAGATGGCAGATCCACGTACTTGGGAGTTCCAACAGACACACAGCCGAAGTGGCCTCCTCTGAGAGGCCAATCTCTGAGAAGCTTTGCCTCATGGATGCCACCCTGTGGGAGCCACCTGCCAGCAGGTGGTGAAACTTTACGTCCCCCTCTTGTGCTTGATGGGACAAGTGATGGGTCTCTTTCCATCGAAACCCTAAACCATAGCCAAGAGGCATTAGTTTGGAATGTGTGCTTTGCTTTAGATGCACAGATTTGCATTTTCATTATATTTGGAGTTTAATTACATATACACTCTATATTATGCCTTTATATTGATGAATAAATGGAATTACAGCCTGAAGCCTGGTTTTGTGTGTGACTATTTTGCTTTTAACCCTCCTCCCTTCCTACCTCCTTTCCTGTCACCTCCACCCCCATCATAATGCATGCTATCAAATTAGCATGTAGTTCTGTATATATGTTCTATCCATGTATATGTAGTCCTAGGCTTAGGACTTCTGAGCCATATACTATGAAAACAGAATCATATTAGATAACTTGACCCCCTTATTTTCATCCTAAGAAATACCTCAGGGAAAGCCCTCCAAGTCAAATGGTGTAGTTCTTCGTTCCTGCTTTGTCTATGGTGTGCATGTGTCATGATTCACTTTGTTTTCAGCTTTTTGATATATTGGACAAAGCTGTGATTAACTGCACATATGTGTCCCTGTGTGCCCTGGAGCTTTATTTTTGTAAGTAGATTTCTAAAAATATGAATCCTAAGTCAAAGAAGAAGAGTGAATATTGAATTTTAATAGATGCTTTAGGTAGTTTTCCAAAACACATTCGGTTTTGATTTCCGTGAACAATAGTGATGGCACCATTTTCCTCTGGATACATTCCACAATGAATAATATTGCTTTACTCGGTGCCAGACGGAGAAGTTGAGACTTCATTCTTACTATAATTTCCATTGTTCTGACTACTGGTGAGTTTAAATGTCTCTTGTAAATTTCTAGGCCATTTGGTTTGGTTTCTCTGCAAGTTGACTATTTGTGTTGGAAAAACTTATAAATTAATTCTTCATTTTTATTTAGTGTTAAAATGGTTTCTCTTTTAAAATCTTTTTTCTTATTTGAAATACATGTCATAATATAGCTAAATTATGGTAGATAGTGTTACCTTGGTTCACAAATGCTTGTGTTTGTAAACAGTTTGGTTTGAATCCCTACACCAAGAATTCAACCCAGGAGTGCTTATCACTGAGATGCACTCTGAGCCTTTTTTTTTTTTTTTTTGAGACAGGGCCTCATTAACTTGCCTACGTAGGCCTTGAAGTTATGATCCTCCTGCCTCAGCCACCAGAGTACTAGGATAGAGGCATGGTCCACTGCACCTGGCACATCTTTCCTTTTATATAGTTTCTATATTTACTGTGTTAATTATGGAGATTTCCCCCTATATCCTCATTCTTTTTTATGTATTTGGTACAGGGTTTCACTATGAAGCTTGGACTCATAATGATTCTCTTGTTTTCAGCCTTCCCAGCTCTGAGACTACAGGCGTGTGCCACTATGCCCAGTGTTGGTGGGCAGCACAGTGCTCCAGGGGTGGGGCTGACATGACATGTGGTACTGGGGATCGAATCCTAGTCCCTGTGCTTGCCTAAGCAGGGGCTTGGTCTGCTGAGCTATCTCACCAGCCCTACATCCCCATTCTTAAGATATTTTTTCTTTCTTGGTGCTGGGTATTGAATGCAGGGCCTTGTATTGCTAAGCACATGTTCTATCACTGAGCCATACCTTCAGCCTAATTATTTTATTTTTATAAATTTTTCATCCTCCTGAAATTGTTTTTTAGTATTATTTTAGGATATTTGCCTCATTTTATATATTTTGTAATTTCAATTTGATTTTCTAATATCATTTAAAAACAATACTTCCCACTGAGTTTGACTATCACCTATAAGTTCTCATATATATTAGGATCTATTTCTGGGTTTTATAACCTGTTCTATTGATTTTTCTATTCTGTTGCAAATACCTGATATTTTTTAGAGTTTTTATGGTATCTTCTGATACATGATAAAACATGTTCTTTTTAACTCTTCTTTTATCCCCTTCATTTAAAGTCAATTTTCAGACATTTCTTTAACTAAACTCTGAAGTCAAAGTCAACAAGCGTAAACAAAAGTTCTGTGTTTCTCTTGGACAAGAGTTTTAGAATCCGGAAAATGATCTGCCTTCTTCTTCTTCTTTTTTTTTTTTTTTAATACCTTGGCGATCTTAGAAGCACTTGGCAAGTACTTCTTTTGGCCTGGACTTGTGACAGTGAAGAGCAAAGCCACACTGGTCACTCATGCTGGGCTCACAGAACAAGTGAGACAGTGGTTGTGGGAGTCACAGAGCTTGTGGAGCGATTGTAACAGCCTCATCACCTGGTGCGTTCCTTCAGATCAGGCTGCTGCAGCTTAGGCTGGATCGTGTGTAGAGTACCACACACCTCACGTGAGAAACCATGTAATAGACTAATGTGGGCTCATGAAGACCATTAAGAATCACAACAGTGAGGACACAGGTGGTACCTTCTGGCCGTACGATCTAATTTCACAGGGTTAAGAAAGTACAGATTCCAAAAGAAGTATCCTCCCTACCTGCTTACCATTTTCCCATTCAGTAGTGGAAACCTAATTTTCATACTCGTAAAAATGCAACTAATTCCACAATGATGAGAGTCCATTTATCTAAAGAAGAAAAAGTTTTTCAGAAGGTGATTTTTACTAAAGTTTGTGAACTGGTAACCCATGAGCCTAACTTGAGCCATGAATGTGTTGTATTTGGATCGCAGTATTTTAAAAAGTCGAAATCACACGTGCGC